GAGAAACAAAGAAATTCAGAGAACACTGTTAGTACAGACCTGCACTTTGTTTAACCAATTTGAGCTGAGAACAGCTAAGTGAATAAATAAATAAATCCTGTGTAACAAGGAAGAGGCATTATCCTACTGGACAGAAATGAGAGAGGGGACTTCTTAGCAGGAGATAAAAATAAGGAACAGCAGGGGAAAAAAAAAAAAAACCACCACTGAAACCGCTCATAGCTATGTTCAATCTGGCATTCACAACCTGGGTCTGTCTCTGTTTCCAATGACAAAAATAGTTTACAAGGGTCACAGTCTTTTTTTTTTTTTCCACGCAGTGTGTCAGAAGTTGGGATGTGCGACCCAGAACTGCCATTCCATTACACAGAATAAAATGATATCTGGTGGGTGGATCGAACGCTTGCCAAAGAAGACACGGTGAAAGCTAACCCTCTCAGTCTAGCTCCTGTTTTTAAATATTTATATCTCTGGCAGACTTTTTTGGGGGAGAGGAAACTGAAAGCTCTTTCGCTATCTGTCATTTCAGCCAGGCAGAGGAGAGAGTCTCACGACTTGATTTTCCTCGAGTTTGGCACCAGGAACAGGCGATAGCATTTCTTCCGGGCGGTGAATTTCTCTTTGTGGAAAAACCAGCCTGGACCAAGGATTTTTACAAGAGCCAACAGCCGCTTTCCATACCCGCCTGGGGCAGGGCCAAGTTCCCATTAGCACTGCTGTTACCAAGCATGCCCGCGCATGGGCCTGCCTTGCAGTGGGCCACTGCTGACCTTGATCAGGGCCTGTCAGGAAATCTCTGAGGGAATCGAGGGGACCTGGGTGGAGGGAAGTGCGCTGTGCAAGAAACAGGGCAGCCTGGCTCCCTAGCTGGCCTCCCTCAGGAATTCTCTTTGTGACCCTCAGTTTTCCTCTGCCCGCCCCACCCCCTCAGGTCCCTCTCCAAGGAATCGGTCCCCAAAGGCAATGGACTGCTGCTTCCTTCTCCTGTCTCCCATCACCTCTGCCACCTCTTTAGCTCAGGGCCTGGAATATTCCATGAACCTTCTAATACTGTGGGGCAACCTTGCAGTGTGCATCACATCGGGTTGGAGAGTGGCCTTTAAAATCAGATAGACGTGCATCTTCCTCATGGCTCTGCCACCAGCTCGCCGTGCAAACACAGACAGGTTCTGTGGCCTCTGCCACAAAACAGTAGGGTAGCTCATTCTAGCAGGAGTGTTGTATGGAGCACATGAGACAGTTTGCAAAGGATCTAGAACACTGCCTGTCACCCAGTGAACACTCACTACACCGAAGTTATTGTTCACATAATCAACAAATGCATATGGTCCCATCAGAAAGCTTTTAATACATCCCTTTTTTGGAGGAAGCATAACGTTAAGTGCTAGGGATGCGGAGACAGAAAAGACACAGAACCTACCCTCAGGGGGTTCTCCATTGGAAGACACTGGTTCCTCAGCTACAAAACAGCTTTAACCTTCTTCCTCTCTCTACTCACATTCCTTTTAGTTTCCAATTTTCACAAAATTTTTCTAAGGCATCTTTTGGCAATAATAACAACCACAGTTGTAATAATAGAGAATAAAAATAGTAATAGTAATAATAACAGTAATAGTAATATCTATTCAACCTTTGCCCTGTGCCAGGCCCTTCACATATAGGAGCTCATTTCACTCTTTCGGTATATGCTATTAGCCATGATTATGGAAGAAAAGCTGGGGAATTAGAAAAACTGAGTAACCTGCACAGGAGCATTCAGCCAATAATATGTAATAATCAGCGAAAGCAGGAATAATTTCCTTTTGTGTTCTTGGTGGGAATGAGTGAGCTTGATTTTCAAGATTCCAGGATTCTAGTCTAAGTCTGATGGTGACTGTCTTATCAGTTATTTCGGACAGAGGCAGAATGAACCACAGGGACCATATACATTATTCTTTCACCAAATATTTTTCCAGCATCTACCATAGGCTTTGGGTGTTCTGATAAACACAAAAATAATTTGGTGCAAATTCTTGCCCCACAGAGCAAAATCCTGAAGAGGAAAAGAAGGCCTGTTTCTAAGTGACTCTTATGTAGTAAAAGAGTGATATGTTCCATTGGAGAGTCTCAGGAAATGGCATATCTGAATATTCCATTACCTCCAGCTAGGGCTGGGCCAAAAGAGACCCTGAGAAAGGATCCGAGTGCAGGTAATAATGACCGTCCAGAAATGATGAGGAAAGGTGTTCCAGGGGGAGGGAAACACAGCGCAGAGGCCCAGAGGTAGGGATGGGTCAGATGGGTACTGATAAGAGTTCAAGGAAATAGACTGAGGAAAGCTTTTAAGGAAATGAACTTGGATAGAGGAGAGGATGGATGTCAGAACAAGTGGTACCTTGCCAAATTTTACGTGCAAATTTGTTGCTTAATAAATATTCCTTGATGAGGACAACATATGCTGTTACTTAATAAATATTCCTGATGGGGAAGACATGTGCTGAGCTGATGGGGAAAAAAAAAAAAAAGGAAAAAGAACTTAATCATCCAGGGCTCAGTTTTTCTATTGGATCCCACAGAATCATTCATTCACTGAAGCATCGGAACATTTATTAAGCAGATACTGCACACAAGACTAGGCACAGAAAATACAACAATGAGCAAGGTATGGTCTGTTCCTTTGAGGCATTCACAGTCCCGGGGCAGGGGCAAGCGTGCAAAGGAACAATTCCACAACGGTGTGTCTTGGGGTAGTGCAATGTTGCCTGGGGGACACTGAGGGGGAGCTTCACAGAAAAAGTAAGATTAAGGTTCAAGGTTGAGATTCACATTCTTCCTTCAAGTGAAAGCACTTTGTGCATCTGAAAAGCACTGTACAAATGTTACCTGTCGTTTCTGTATTCTTTTTCCCAACCACAGCTTTGAGGTTTCTCAGCCCAAGGGGGAAACAAGGACTTTATTTTTAGAGCTGGAAGAACACCTTAACGATCATGTGGTTTTCAGAATAATTGACTGTGTATACATGCATGTGGATGTGCGTTTGCTTGTGTGGACATATATATTGATATCATATTGAGAAAATGCTGTTTTATAATTTCAAACTGAAAACATTTACTTCTTCAAGTTCCACCATAAAGAGCAATGAGTTTATTCAGATTCAGCCCCAACATTTAATACTGGAGTGATAGGTGATGTTTGCAGTCATAGCCCCAGTATCATCTTTATTTCGGTGTTTTGTTTTGCATACGTGGCATTACGAAAATTCTGATTGCACTGATAAGTAGCGAAAGTGGTAACATCTGTGGGCTTTTTGTTTGTTTGTTTTTTGTTAACAGCTTGACTCACAATCTCAAGATACTCTTCATTTAATCTGGGCCAGAAGCTTGAAGGCAGGATAGCGAGACATTTCAGTTTCAGAGTTGAATCAGTAACAACACTTATGATGGTTCTCTGTATTCTTTGACATAAATATGAAAATCAGACGGGAGGAGCCCAAAATTTACACTAACTCTAAAGTGGTCCATAATGTGAATCATGGAGATCAGCATGTCTGAAGTTTCTGCATTAGAATGTTACAGTTTGATAAAAGGATTGGCCAAAGCAACTGATCTGATGTTAACTTGACATTTATTTGGGGTATCTGTGACTCACTCATACAATTTTAGGGTAAAAATCTGAATTCCAGAAAGACCCCTGCAGAGCTACAGTAGTCCTAATCAGTGACATATTTGTAAGAAATTAGAATGTATATACAGACATGTATTATTATTTTTTTAACATCAAAGGGATTCTGTGGGTATTGCGATTGTTAACCCGTTTGTGATTTGTCTTCTTCTGTATTAAAATTTTGATGAGAATTATTTCTGAAATAAAATAAAATATATCCATAGATATTGTTTAAGTTTTCTTCTGAGCTCATACAAAAATTAGTAACCTATCAGCACAAATAATTATGATGGTGGTCTCTAATATAAATATAATATGTAGGGGCGCCTGGGTGGCTCAGTCAGTTAAGCATCTGACTTCAGCTCAGGTCATGATCTCAGGGTCCTGAGATCAAGCCCCACATGGGCTCCATGCTCAGCAGGGAGTCTGCTTTTCCCTCTCCTTCTGTCCTTACCCCTGCTGCTCATGTTCTCTGTCTCTCTCTGTCTCTCAAATAAATAAGTAAAATCTTTAAAAAATAAATAAATAAATATATTATGTATACATATAGACTTAAGTAGATTCATGGATTTTTATTTCAATTATCAAAATAGTTAAAAACGTGTTACAAAATTAAATTCGCATGTAACACTGCAAATAATTTAAATTTAAATAAGTTAGCCCATAAAAACACAGTTTGAAAACCACTGATCAACTCCTAGACTTTCCCAATGGATCATATGCAAGGTAATTTTAGGCGGTACACAAGCCCTTTTTATGTTAATAACTATGTACTTATTTATACATGTATTAAACATTGGCTTTTCCATTTTTTTAATAATATACACTTTATCTTACTCCTAAATGATTTATAAAATTAAGGAAATGGGCTAATTTAAAGAAAAATATTAGGTAACTAGTAACACAGAGGAATATAGAAAAAATTATAACAGTAATAGATAAATGATTGAGGTTTGCCAAATCCTAACGAAATACAACAGACTTGTCAGTCCAAGTGGAGAAATGAAGGACCAGAAAGGCATTTTTGGTGGCAGATGAAGACTTGCCCCCACTTATCCTCATTCCCAATCCAAGAAGACTATCTTATTCATGCTATAAGAGCAAAATCTGCACATTCGGCCACCAGGTCTAATGGCTTTGCCATATAACATATATGACAAACCAACAAGACTTTAAGTCTTAATTGACAAACTAAAGATAAGCCAGGGCCAAATGTCTATAATCTCTTAGGGCTCCCTGAGCACATCTGGATATTTTCAGTTGTTCAATATGGAAAATACGACTCCAACAGGCTTAAATTACAAATATAATATGCATATTATACATATAAATATATGTAAATTATAAAATGCTCTTACAAGTAAAAAGTCCAAAGGTAGCACTGTCTTCAGTCATGGCTTGATCCAGAAACACAGAGTCACCCAGTTTCTCCATTTTGCCTTCCTTGGAATCCTAAGGCAGGAATCTTTCTGAGTTACTTCACCATTCATATGGAACAAGAAAGAGTCCCAGCATTCCCAACAACAACAACAAAAAAAAGAGTCACTCTGGATCCATGTAGGTCCTATGGCCCATCCTTAAACCAAAACTTACCCAGTCATACGTCCCGCATCTACAGTGGAACCTGGAACCACTGGTCTCTCTAATGGGGAGTTAGAAGCTGTTGGGATTGGAGACAGGTGAAAATAAAGACTGGTAAGGCCATCACAAATATTTCTGGTCATAAAGAAAGAGTAATAATGTCACTGCATAGGGAAGTCTTTAGATTTGATCTGGGAGGGATTCTGGATACTTCCAAGGGTAGGTCATATTCTTCAGAGGTATTCATGAAGTGTTTGTATGCAAGGCGGGAAGAGTGGTGTACCTCCAGTCACCTCGGGTGTTCATGCAGAGCCAACGTCCACAAGGATTTCTGTGTGAATTTCCCCTTGTTTCATGCCACTTTGGGAGTATATTTCCCCACTACATTCCAGCCTGGGCCACTGCCCTCCTTAAGAATTTACTTCCTAGTGGCTTTTTTTAATGGGAGGGTAGTGGTGCAAAGATAATCACGGAGTGTGATCTGGAAGCCAAAAAGGAAAAACAAAACCATAATTTCCATTTTGAAGTTGAGGTCTGAGGTAGAGGGAAATGAGATGGCTCTGAGAGGCTCAGGGCTGCTTTCCAATGAAGATGTTGGCTCCCCTCCTAGTTTTCCTAGTTTCTAAGTCTTCCCACAAAGTGGGCACTGAAATTCACGACTGCCCCTAAAAAAAGAAACTTACCTAGAAGTAAACCTTCCACAGTTGACGTTTTTATCCATGCAAGTGAGACTGCATTGTAATTGTACTCAAATAGTAGTCAGAAGGATGCAGTTCCCTCCAGCACTAAGCAGCTAGAGAAGGATTTGGGAAAGTATTGGATCTTTTCTGAAACCTCTTAAAAACGTAACATTGTCAGTGGCTGCCTTTGACTTTTAGAACTGAAAGAATGAGAAATATATTCCACTGAAATGTATTGAGCAGGGCCCATTCCCTTAAATGATTTCATCTAACCACCACATTAGCCCGTAAGCTAAATGTTTACCCCACTTCACAGATAAATAAACAGAGGCTCAAAGAATCGGAATGAATTGTCCCCTACAGATCCAACAGTAGGCTATTGCATGACCTTGAGCCAGCCCCTTCTTTCTCAGAATCCTGGCTCCTCTGTGAAATGAGGCCCCATGGCCTTAGAAATGCCTTCCCAGCTGCCTCCACCCTCTCCAGCCTCAGAGTGTCTGTGTGGAGCCTTCCTCTTCCAGTCTGTGAGGTCCAAATCCTGGGCAGATGTCTCTCACCATATGCTGGGGGTGATTTAACAAGGCCAAATGGGCAGCCCCGTGGTTGGAGGCGCTCTCCATTACATACAGGGGGGTTGCTGCCGCCTGCCTGGCTGTCCCAGCCCCGGCCGGCTCCTTCTGCAACTGCAGATGCCGAGCAGCTGAAGATATTTTTAAAGCTACAGCATCTGGCTCCTTGGCAGCCTCTACCCGCTGGTGGGCCGGGTGTTTTGGAGTTGCCTCTGGGCACTTCACATGGTTTGGCATCTGATCCATTGTCTGAGCCACCTTTTAGAGCCAAGCTTTTATTGTAGGGTGGGGGTGGGGGTGGGGTGGGGTGGGGGAGGAGAGGCGGGGGTGGGGAGGTTCCCCTGAAACCAACTTTTGATTATGACCTAGGTCTCCCCTCTCAGTGACATCAGTACGTCTCTGGATCTTTCATGGTGGGTTTTTTTTTCTTTCGTTTAAAAGAAAGTGATGAAAGAAAAAAGAAAGAACATTTCCTCTCTGCCAGAGTGGGTTTGAATAGAAAGCTGAGCAGTAGCTATGCAGCTGCCCAAGTCTTGCCCACCGTGCCCACATTCGGACTAGCTCAGAACACGGCTTTCTTGGCATTCAAACTTCCCTCAGGCTGGACTGTTCCTCAAATGTCTCCCCAGGGAGGTAGGGGATTTCTTTTCTCTCTTTTTTTTTTCCTCCTGTTTTTGCAAAAGATTCTGAAGCTTCCTGTCTACATCCAAATAGCCAATTTAAAAAAGAAAAAAGAAAAAGGAAAAAAAAAAAGACACTGACACCTAATTCTCCCTGGCAAGCTGTATAGCTGTATTAAGTTTTTTTTCTTTTTCTTAGAAAGGTGTATTTGAGGGAACACCAGCTCCCCAGCCTGGAAACTCAGGCTTGGGGACTTGGCCCTGTTTCAGAACACCAGTTTGAAGAGGACTTCGAGTGAGGATTTCAGGCCTTGTGACAAGAAAATTATCTCAGTTGGGGCAACAGGTTCCTGTGTCACGGGGCTGGGCCAGGCACCAGCCCGCCTCTCACCCATCACTTGGCAAGAGCACCGAGTGTGGTCTTTTCTCCGGCTGCAGGCACAGGGAGTCCACAGGCAGTGGCTACCGGGGGGGGTGGGTAGGGGGGGTAGGGATGCCCCTGAGCAGGGATGACCGCTGGGGGCCCAGCCAGGCTGGCCAGAGAGTTGTTTTTGATGACCTGCTTTTATTGGGCACATCTGTCTCCTTGCCTCCTTCTGCTACATCGATACAAGACCCCGGAAATCATTACACCCACCAGAGCCGGGGTCTGCAGCTGATGTGGATAGCCAAGGGGGTGAAGGAGGGAGGGGGGCTGCATCACCTCCACTTATACTCAACAGGAAGATGACAGGATTCTCCTCTGATGACTCATAGGAAGATCCCTAACACTTGCTGAACACGTACGGTTCTAAGTGCTTCACATACGTTAACCTGGTAAATGCTCACCACAACCCCATGAAGTAGCTACTACTGTCCTCCCTTTACTAACGAGGAACGGAGGACTGAGAGGTGAAGAAGTTTATCCAAGACCCAGCCAATATACGGTAGAACAAGGATTTAGACCCAAATGCTCTAGCTCCCTACCTCCCTCTCTTGACCATAAAATAAAGATTAATGAAAATGAAGGTTGACTTAAATTTTGACTCAACATTGAAGACCAAACTCAACTAGGAGCTGTTGGTTCTTTTCAGTCAGCCTTATTTGGAATGTGAGTGGATTGATGAAGAGTGTTTAAAGTGGAAAAGTATTGGGGCGCCTGGGTGGCTCAGTCGATTAAGTGTCTGCCTTTGGCTGAGGTCATGATCCCAGGGTCCTGGGATCAAGCCCCGCATCAGGCTCCTTGCTCAGCGGGGAATCTGCTTCTCCCTCTCCCTCTGCCCCTCCTCCCTGCTTATGTTCTATCTCTCTCTCACTCCCTCTCTCTCTCAAATAAATAAATAAATAAATCGTTAAAAAATAAATAAAGTAGAAAAGTATTTATTCAAGATATACAGCCATTCCTAGCATTTCACCGTTGGTGAAGGCTATCTTCCTCTTCGACCCTGTTAGCCTCAAGCTGGCCAGCAGGAAGGAGCTTAATAAAGATGGGAAGTGTTTGAGCAGCAGGAACAGTGCCACCTAGGCTTAGGCATTTCAGAATTTTGAGTGGCTGCTGAAAATCTAATTAAAGCAGAACTGCTTGAATTCATTAATTTATTCAAAATACTTATTGAGTACTTCTCTGCATCAGGCATTGTTCTGAGTACAGCAGATACAATAGGGAAAGGGGGAGAAAGGAGTACTGGGTGAGGAAAGGGTCCAACTTAAAATGGGGTGGTCAGGGGCACCTGGGTGTCTCAGATGGTTAAGCATCTGCCTTCGGCTCAGGTCATGATCCCAGGGTCCTGGGATCGAGTCCCGCATCGGGCTCTCTGCTCCTTGGGAGCCTGCTTCTCCCTCTGCCTCTCTCTCTCTCTGTCTCTCATGAATAAATAAATAAAAATCTTTAAAAAAAAGTGGGGTGGTCAGGAACGTTGAGTCTAAAAAGTTGACATTGGAGTCAGATGCTGAGGGAGGTGAGGGCTAAGCTTGCAGGTGTCTTGGGGAAGAGGGAACAGCCAGTGTAAAGGCTAAGGTAAAGCCTGCTGAGTACACCCCAGGAACATCAAGGAGGCCATGTGGCTGGAACAGAGCGAATGGGGAGAACATAGTATGAGATGAGGTCAGAACTGGTAATGGAGGAGGGAGAGATTGTAAACATGATCTGTTTAAATAAGCTTCATTTAAAGAAATATCCCCCCAAAAAATAAAAGAAAGAAACACTCCCAGTGTACCTGAGTAAAGGAACAAAAATATGAGTGATGGCATTCCCCAAGAATCAGGAATGCATTGGGGCACCTGGGAGGCTCAGTCAGTTTAGCGTCTGCCTTCGGCTCAGGTCATGATCTCAAGAGTCCTGGGATCGAGCCCCACATCGGGCTCTCTGCTCAGTGGCAAGTCTGCTTCTCCCTCCGTGATCTCTCTGGCTCTCACTCTCTCTCAAATAAATAAATAATATCTTTCAAAAAAAAAAGAAAAGAATCAGGAACACATAGCCTGAAGGTCACAGGAGAACGCAGTTGGCCCGCACCTTGGCTCAGCTTCGTTCTCCAAGCCTTGAGGTGTGTTTTTGTAAAATAAGACTAGACCATAGAAATTGAGTCTTTCACTAAATGGGAAGATGAACTTGGCAACCTCACAGGAATGCCAAAAGCCATGCTCATAAGAAGGAAGCAGAGTGAATACCCAAAACAATGCTTTGAATCCCGCCCAGGAAAAAATATCCAGAATCCCGCCATTAAATGTCTAGCTCTTTGGATTCTGAAGGCAATAAAGGGTGATGAAGGGGTGCCAAAGGCAAACCCTCCCTATTTCATAACACTGTCAAATATTGGAATATGTATCATTCTCTGTTTACTTTGTTCTCTCAATTCTAAGGCCTCCTTTCCAACATCTTGTAACCTCATAGCCTGGGAAATGCCTGTCAAGTATTATACTTGGTTTCCTAAAGTGGTCAGAGCCATTGGGCCCAAAACTCTCACATTCAAAGCTTTTTAGGAAGGTACCATCGGTCTCCTCTATGCTTTATGGTTCCTGTCTTAGGCTAAATGTGCAACAGTCCAACAAACCCAAGAACAGGTACATTTTACTGCATTTTACTTTTACATTGGTGGGGAGGTAAGTCCCAGCTGTGTGACTTCTCTGGGCCTCAGCCTTCTTAGCCACACAATAAGAATCTTAACTCCTGCCTCACAGAGATTTTGTGACGTTTAGACTTAAAGTCTATAAAGTCCCCAGCATGAAGCCAAGCAGAGAAAGGACAGAAATGGCACAACAGTGTCCATGTCCTCTCTGTAAGAGGAAGGTGCTGGCTGAATCATTCATTCAGCAAATAGGTTGTGAACATCTTCCCTGTGGTGGTTGTTAACACTAGCACCCATAACTTCAATATTTGATTCTTTGAGGGTAAAAAATGTAAACAATGGAAGTCTGAGGGATTACATGAAGGGTCTACAAAGGCCTGCCTGTCAGCCTGTCATTACTCATACAAAGGGGAATTTCATGAAATAAGTCAGTCAGAGAAAGACGAATACCATAGGATTTCACTCCTATATGTGGAATTTAGAAACAAAACAGGAAGGGGCGCCTGGGTGGCTTGGTTGAGCGTCCGACTCTTGGTTTCAGCTCAGGTCATGATCTTGGGGTTGTTGGGTCAAGCCTTGCATCGGGCTCTGTGCTCAGCACAGAGTCTGCTTGAGATTCTCTCTCCCCCTCTCCCTCTGGCCCTGCTCCCTCTCGCGTGCACTCTCTCTCTAAATAAATGAATAAAATCTTTAGAAAGAAAGAAAAAAAGAAAGAAAGAAGAAAGAAAACAGATGAACATAGGGGAGGGAGAAAAAAGAGAGAGGGAAGCAAATCATGAGAGACTCTTAACTACAGAGAACAAACTGATGGTTGATGGAGGGAAGTAGGAAGGTGGGCAAGATATGGGTTAGATGGGTGATGGGTATTAAGGGGGCCACTTGTTGTGATGAGCACTGGGTGTTCTATGTAAGTGATGAATCACTAAATTCTACACCTGAAACCAATTTTACCATATGTGTTAAGTAACTAGAATTTAAATAAAAACTTGAAGTAAAAAAAGTAACAAAAAACGTGAATATCAAGGCCCTCTAGGGCAAGTTTTTGCCTCGTATTTTTTTCTTCCTAGCTTTCATTTATTGCTTTATTGCCATGATTCTAGCAAGTATTTTAAATCAATTATAAAATTATGACATGACTTTATAAAAGCAAAGTCCACAGTATTTCATGTGGATGGCTACTACATGGTAGACAAATACTCATTATTCTTTTAACACCCTCCCTTTAATGCCCAGTAGGCCCCTCCCAGGACTCTCCATGAGCTGTGGGGTCTCAGAGCTCATTAAAGGAATACAAAGCATCCACATTATTAGTGTAACTTAACTATTTCTGTAACATGGCAAGTATGCAAAATGTTCTCTGATGATTTTTTATAACTTTCTGGTCTCTGCATCAATTTTTTATTTACAACTATATTGTTAGGATAAAATCATACCATGGGGTAGACTGCTTCCTCATAGCAGCCTGAGCTTCATCATAGCAGCTATTCCAATGTTCTCCCTAAGAAGAAAAAAAAATTATTTTTACTTACTTACTTGCGTATTTGGTATCAGAAGCAATATTTTCCAAAGCATATTGCAAGGAACATCAGTTACCTAAGAGTTACTCAAAAAAAGAGTTTCATGGTCTAGCAAGCCCAACACAGTGAAATAGGGTTTTAGTTTGTGGCATTTACTAAAATCATAAGACCAATATGTGAAGACATACCTGGAGATTACATGGAGAGTAATCCTAAAAGCACTCATGGCATGTTTGATTTCCAACAATCCCTATAAATTTGTTTGGTAGGAGTCAAAGTCATTCCCCCGTACCTGGTGGAAAACTCAGACAATTCTACGACTTTTCTGACAACTCAGACAACAACTCAACTTTGAGATGCCAATATATCAGTCAGTACTTCAATCTACTGGGTCGGCTGTAGCAGGTGGGTGGCATGCCTCCACACAATGGGTGCCCCTGGTTTGGTCTCTCTCCCTCCGTCTCCTCCCTGAGCTTGCTTATCCTGACTTCTGGCCCCTCAGTGGTTGGAGCACAGGGCTAGGGAATCGGGGTAGAGGGAATGTGTAGGAAAGTTCCTCCTTGATAGGTACCTTCATAAGACAGCTTTGAGATCTCTGGGCCTGCCAGGTGTTGAGAGATGCCTTACTTTGTCATGGGCACAGTTGTGGGGTTTCAGAGGATCCTCTGCTAGGCCCCCAGCTATCTCTCCCTCTATCTGACCCTTAGCACCTACAGCCACTTATGCACATCACTGATGTCCTCACTTTGAGGGCCTTCTCCATTGCAGGCTGCCTTTTGGAGTGGGAGCCTTCTTAAAGGACCCTGCAGGAAACAGATGGAAAACTCCAATGGAGTCACTGAAGGGAGTTTAATGAAGGGACTATTCATCATGAGGCAGGGCAGGAGAGGGCGAGTCTAACAAGAGACCAGAAGTGACCTGAAACTGGCAAGAGCAGAGTATGTTACCATCCCTAAGCCTAAAGGGACATGTGAAGGGAAACCTATAGGAGATGACCACCTCATTGTGGTCTTCCATAGCACATCTTGCTAGCCTACCCCCCAGCCGGGAAGCAGCCCAGAGAATGATACCCCAACCTCTCCCCTCACATACTCTCATTTCCCCTGGTGCCACCTATGGGGCAAACCCAACCAGAAGTCAGAGGGCAAGGAGGACAGCCTCCTAGGGCACAAAGCACAGGACAGAAGGGTGGAGGGTGGATTTAGAAGGGCAAACAGTGTATCCACACATGACCTCAAGAAGATATTCTTAATACAGGCTCCACCAGAGACTGGCCCTCACCTGACTCTCACTTCTTCTTTGTCTGCATTCTCTCTTCATCTGCCCACTCCAGATGTTCCAGACATCTCTCCATTGCCATAACCATACGCTTGTTCCTTCCACCTGGAATGCTCTTTCTCCACTCTTTACATAGTGAAAGCTTTTTCACTGTTTACAATTCATTTTAAGCATCACTCGGGGAATTTTCCATAAAATTTTTGTAATTTAATTGAAAAAAAAAAACCTGTACTTCTTTTATACATTACTTTGTGCATTTGAGATTCATTAATTATTTTCAATGACAGTCATTTCTCTCTTCTCCTCTGGACACAAGCTCCTTGAGGGCAGGGGTTTGGTCTAGGGGAAAGGGCTACTTTTTCCTGGAATCTCACACATAGCAGGAGCTCAGGAATAGTTCAACAAGGGATTGGCTTCCCCCGTTGGGGCCTCAGTTTCCTTAGCTAGAAGACGGAGGACTTAATGCAGCTGAGGACATGAAAGGCCCCTTTGAGCTCTCAAATTCTCTGAAATGTAAATACTATTCCCCCAGGTGAGACCCTCTTGACTTCTCTGTCAAGAAACTTCTCCCAAGTTTATACATTAACCAGAGAATACAGTAGGGGGAGAAGGTTAGGAAATCTCAGATTACTTATGAGAGGCAAAAAAAATCACATTACAGTGGATGTATACAGTTTCACAAGGAAATGAGCAATCTCTTCTTTGATGGAATATGTGAAAGCTAAACTGGAAGGAATAATTAGATTAAATGGTGATGTAAACTGGAAAGGAAGCCTTACTTCCTGCACTGCTCCAAATACCTTACAGGAGTCAGCAGGACCGACCAGCTCAGTAATTAGAGTGTTCTAGCTGTCTCCACTTAACTATGTGCAAGTGACTGAAAACGGGAGTTTCATTGGGCCCCTGGCACCAGAACATTTTGGTGAAATGAGCTTTGTTCTCAGTTACGAGGGATAAAATAAAAAACAGGATTCACGGTGAATGGGTGTTGTAATGGCTTCTTTTCACCCCACACAGGCCAGAGTTCTGCTAGTGCATGCCCAGGAGCCTAATAACCCCATAGAGTGCATAGCCAAGGGGTGCCCGAGTGTGAAGCTGGAATGCAAAACTCTGACTTAAGAGTCAGCAAAGTTCTATCAAGAGCTTGCTCTTCCACTGATAAGGTGTGCAATCTTTGGAAAGCCAAAGCCTGAACTATCTGATGCACACAGGGGCATGGTGACATTCCTTATAGACAGAGAAAGTTTCTGATATACAGAGGAAACCCCATAAAATAATGAGCAAGAGCATCTGGGTGGCTCAGTTGGTTAAGCATCCAAATCTTGGTTTCAGCTCAGGTCATGATCTCAGGGTTGTGAGATCGAGCCCCGAGTCAGAGGGAGATTCTCTTAAGAGAATCTTAAGATTCTCTCTCTCCCTCTTCCTCTGTTCCCCCATCCCTCTGCTCATGTGCTCTCTCTGTCTCTCTGTCTCTCTGTCTCTCTCTCAAAATAATAATAATAATAATAAATAATAGTAATATAATGAACAAAATTCAGCTTTGGAGCCAGGCAAACTTGCATTCTAACCTAGGCATGGCCATTTACAATGTGGGTGACCTTAGGCAAGCTACTTGTCCTCTCTGAGCCTCAGTTGCCTTATATAAAAGCTTGAATATAAGACCCATAACACAAGCCTGCTTGAACAGTGACTTAGTAGGTTCTATATAACATGGTAGCAATAACAAAGCTCCAGTAAGTGGACAGGTCAGCCCCTCTCATATCCAAGAAGCCAGTCTTTTATTTTATTCATTCATTCATTTATTTGGCAAATATCTGCAGAGTACCTACCATGTGCGTGATCCAGATTATATGGTAGTTAACAAGGCAGCCATGGTCCCTGCCCTCATGAGCCTTGCAGACTAGGTGAGGTAGGAGAGCACAGACTTCAAATAAACAGACAAGTCTCTGAAAGAAAATGCATAGTCCTATGAAAGCAGTTAATGCAGGGGTGCCTGGGTGGCTCAGGTGGTTAAGCATCCGACTCTTGGTTTCAGCTCAGGTCATGATCTCAGGGTTGTGAGATGGAGTCCCATGTCGGGCTCTGCACTGGGCGTGGAGTCTGCTTGAGATTCTCTCTCTCCCTCTCCCTCCGCCCCTCCCTCTGCCCCTGAGAGAGAGGGGGTGGGTAGGGGCAGAGGGAGAGGGAGAGAGAGAATCTCCCTCTCTCTAAAAAAAAAAGAAGAAGAAAGCAATTAATGCTGAGTGTTATTTAGATGACAGAGCTCAAGAAGATTGCTCTGAGGCAGTGACATTTAAGCTGAGAATTAGAGAATAAGTTGGTATTATACAGGTGAAGTGTGGGCAAAATCTGGCTCCAGACTGTGAGAACAGTGTGTGAAGCCTTGGAGGTGGAGAGGTGGGAATGAGGCCAGGACAGCTACCGTTTTGTAAACAAGGGGAAGAAAGGTACAGCTCAGGCTGGAAAGGGGAGCAGAGACCAGCTCAAGTGGGTTGAATCCTACATGCAGAAGAATACCACCCACCCCCCCCATACTCCTTGTATGGGGCAGAGTCCCTGCCTGGGTCCCTGGCTCCATGATGACCAAGGCAACCTGGGAGAGCAGAGCAGACCTGGCCTGGATGGAAGAAGACCTGGGTCCTAATCTCACATTTGTCACCTAATCTTTGTAAAGTTTGTCTTCAGCACACAGCTTCATTTCTTGAGGCCTCAGTTTTCTACTCCTCAAACAAGATATATTTGGGCAAAATCATCCAGCCTAAAGTTCTCAGATTCTCAATTTCTTGCTAACTTTCTTGGGTGTCATGGACATTGGGACTGTCACTTCTAAAAACAAAGGGAAGGGAACATGGGCTCTGTTCCGTCCTGCCCCCACTGCCATCCCTGGAAAGTCTCGGGAGAGGTGCTTAAGAAGAAGGAGGAAGCACCAGGGCCCCACAGAGGATGTACTGTCAGTAAGGTTAAAGCCATCAGGGCCGAAAGACCATTCCGTGGCTCCTGCCAGCCTTTGGGGAGGAAAGAGAAGCATCTTGCTCCCCAGGAGCAGAGCCTGCAATGTGATGCCCCAGAGGCGGAGCCACTCTGAGGACACCTGGAACAAAGGGGCCCTTAGATTTTCCGGTTGAGCCTGCTTAGGTCTGTAATCAGTTTAGCTTCCAGTCTACCAGTCCTTAGATTAGTCAAACCTCTAGTGATTTTGGCTGGGTGGGCACAGGCTAAGTCAGGTGGAAAGTTAAGACAATTACCCAGATGATTCAAATCTTGCAAAAGGAGAAAAAGTACTGAATTCAGGGCCCGGCCAAGCTTGGCTTCCTGTAAGCATCAGCCTTACCAGATCACTGCCCAGCCCTCGATGTCACTAGGCTGGGTGGTTGTATTCATCCAAGGAACCCTTACAGAAAATCAGAATCTGAAACAAACGAATACTATTCCCCCAGCAAGGCTCATGGAGAGTTAGAGTGTGCTCACCCTATGCTAAACCCTGGAGCAAGAGTTGTGATTAGCCTCTATTGCTGAGAATCAGAAAATTATAACCCAGTTAGGCAAATAAGACCAAGTGGTAAGTAGGAATTAGTAAACTGTAAAATAGTCAACCTAAGTATTGTATGACTCAAATTGCTATGGGGTTTAGAGAAAGAAGCTGCCAGCAGGGCTCAGGTCGAGGAGGATGATTTGCAGAGCTAGCTGAGTGTAAAGGAGAAACTTCCCAGCACAAATGAAGGAAGAGGATAATCCCAACTGTGAGTTAGATAAACCAAGCAAGGAGGTGAGAAAGAATATAAAGAATCTAGGGGCAAAAAAGCAAGGAGCCACTCTGAGAAAGTGCTGAAATTTTTAAAATGCAAAATGTAATCCAATTTGAGGTTCCCAGGCAGTAGTGGGATTCTGACGAAGGTACTCTGTTATGGGTCGAGTTCTGTTGCCTAGAAAGATCTGTTGAAGTCCCAACCCCCAGCACCTGTGAATGTGACTTTATATGGAAATAGGACCTTTGCAGATGTTAAATCAAGTTAAGATGAGGTCATTGGGGTCAGCCCTAATTCAATATGATCGAAGTCCCTATAAGAAGAGACACACCTGTGAAGACAGAGGCTGAGATTGGAGTAGGGCCTTGCAAGCAAGGAATGCCAACAATAGGACCAGAAGCTAGGAAGCATCAAAGCAGGATTCTCACCTACAGGTTGCAGAGTGAGTGTAGCCCTGCCAATACCTTGATTCCAGAACTGTGAGACAATAAATTTTTATTGTTTTAAGCCATCTAGTTTGCAGTACTTGTTACAGCAGCCCCAAGATACTTATACATCTTCACGGACATTGGTTTGGTCTCAGTGAAGGTGCAACCATCCGTCGCACGGACCATGTGAAGGGATGGGACACAGGCACCTAGCAAAGTGCACTGCGCTCCTCAGCAGGAATTCCACTGCCAGAAAGGGACTGTAGTCCCACACCCTGGGAGGACATGGGCTAGAAAGGAGCTAGCAGCTGACAAGAGAAAGACTGGAGACAGTTGGGTTTGTGGGAAAAGGCATGAGTTTTAGAATGCAAGACTCTGCCTCCTCCAGTCTGCGAAACCTTGGACAAGTTCCCCTCTGGGCCTCCATCTCCTCAGCTAGAAAAAGGAGATGATAATTGAAGGTAGTTCATAGAGGCAAGTGACTTTTAAAGAAATAGTACACACACACACAGCCTAGCCCCCCCACACACACCTTCCTGGTCCCAGGCTTTACCTGGGAGACCTCCCAAATGCTCACACTTCAACCCACAGCTGTGCCTTTGTCCCTACAAAATACATAGGTTTCAGCCCCAACCCATACACCTCCAGACATCTCCCCTTACCCAAATATTCCTCAGCCTCTGGGCCCACTCTTGTCCCCTTGACCAGTCTAGCCGAATGACGCTTGCCTCCTCTGAAACCTATAACACATAAGAGGCTTTGTCACTGTGACACACTAAAAATCAACTTGCCTTTTTCCAGTATGCTCTGCCTTCCACCCCAGGTTACTACCCTCACCAAAAGCCAAAGAAAGGAATTCAGCCCCCTCCAATGCTCACTCGAAGCCAGACCTTTACATTCCTTATCATTTAATTTCATTTCATTTAACTTAATTCCATCCTCATGATACCTCTCTGATGTGGCTCTCACCTCTTCGTCTCCTCCTGGGAGAACGGCGCCGGCCACATAAGTAGGTGCTCAATAAAAGCTGTTCTACTATGCTAATACATTCAGTTTGCTTGGGCCAGTGCGAGAGCAGGGCCAAAGAAAAGGAAGAGGACCTTTTGTGTCTCCAGAAAACTGTTCACTGCTGCAGCCAGCCAAAAGGGAAGGTGGTTCTCCTTTTGAAACTGGCTTGGGAGCCCAGAATTTCCACCTGCGCCTCTGCCTTGACCAGACTCTACTTTCAGCATTGCTGACCCCCGCCAAGCTAACCGTCAAGAGAATAATCTTGTTTACTGGTAACCTCTTCCCAACACAGCCTCACCGCGGGACAGCCTATTGGGCCGTCGGGCCTTATTAGTGCTCGTGGCAGTGCGGTCGAGTGTTAACTGGATCCCGAGCCTTGTGCTAAACGCTCCATCTGGAGCTACTCTCTCGGAGCACTGATGAGGGCTGCTCCCTCCACGTCCTTAAAGGTCTTCTGAAGAATGGCTCAGGTTTCTGAAACCCACTGGAAGCGAAGGTAGCACCCACAGCGCAGGGGTTCTGACTCCAACGTTGAAGAACCAAGAGAATAATGTCAGAGACCTGCTCTTCTCAGTCTCGTTCCTGATATGGGCACTTGGAGAGAAAATATATGAATGCTCTGTCTTCTGATAGATTTACTCGACAAATATTTATTGAACAACAACTATATGGCAGGCATCGTTCTGGGACTGGGGTTGTATCAGTATCAAAACAGAAAACCATCTCTGCCTTGAGAAGCTTGTGTTCTAGCAGGGAGAGTTCTAAAAGAAGTTTGATTATGGAAAAGGAAAGGACAGAGAATGTATATTAGTTCGCCAGGGCTGAACCACCACAAATCCAGTGGGTTAGACGACAAAAATGTACTGTCTCACCTGGAGACTGGGGGTCTGAGATCCAGGTGTTAGCAGGATTGGTTCCTTTGGAGGGCCCTCAGGGAAGAGTCTGTTCCAGGCCTCTGTCCTTGGCTTGTAGATGGCTGTCTTCTCTCTGCGTGTCTTCACACTGTCTTCTTGCTGTGTGTATCTCTATGTTTACTTCTTATGTTTTCCCTTTGTGTAAGGACACCTGTCATATCGGGTTAGGGCCCATCCTAATGACCTCACTTGAACTTGATTACCTCTGTAAAGACCCTACCTCCAAATAAGGTCACATTCTGAGGTACTGGGGGTTAGGACTTCAACATATGAATTTGGGGGAGGCAAGTAAATGCAATCCATAACAATGCTAAAATAGCATTCTAACTTAGTTAGGATGATAACTAAGTTATGTAACTAACATTATAACTTAGAAATAAGTGCTCTGGAAAAATGAAGCAGGTAAGGAAGATAGATTTAACATCTGCAAAGGCCCTATTTCCATATAAAGGAGGGAGGGAATCCCATGAAAGCAGGGTATGAGGGAGCATTATTAAACAGGGCAGTCAGGAAAGAACATTCTGGGCAGAAGGAAAAGCTAGAGCAAAGGCCCTATGGCAGGGGCAGGACTGGAATGTTCTAGAAAAGCAGAGCGATGAATGGGGCTGGAGCCCAGCAGATCAAAGGGAGAAGAGTAGAAGACGAGGTCGGATAAGAGAGTGAGGAGGGGGCAGATCACGTACTTAAGCCACAGCTTCAGTGGAAGGGTTTGGAGAGACACATGCTCTGGGTTTGCAGTATTGCAAAGAATTGTTCTCCCGTAAGTTTTGGTGCTGGGGGAAAGAAATTGATCTTCTGGGTAACATTTCCTGTCCGCAGTTTGTACAGTGAGTGCTTGCCTCACCTTCCACTCCATTGACTCCGTGGCCCGAGACCATGGGCTCAGGGCGCCAGTACAGGATTCTTATGAGGCTGCATCTTCCCATGTCCACAGACCCGTTTCCTCAGACTTCTTGGCTCATGAACATCACAGGCCTTCTGCTGCACATACCAAATTGGCCTCAGTGGACCAAAATGTTCTAACGTTCCCCATCATCCAATGGAGCAAAGAGGAGGGAGCAAGCACCTGAGTAAAAACCAGAAATAATAAACACTTCAAAAATTGCCTTCCTAGGAAACAGAAGCCTATAAAAGCTTTGCTAACTATACAATAAAAGGTGGGAATGGTTATGCCCCCAGACATGACCAAGTGGGGTGTCATTAGAGGGAGCTGTGTTTGCTTCTGAGAGCCGTCACCCAAATCCAGGCTGAGTCTGGGAATGCCCTCACTTCTTTCTCCTGGCTGACCCCAGTGACTTGGACCCCAAAGGGTAGCTGTTTATCTTAAGAATTGCTAATATTGACTGAGGGCCTGCCATGTGCCAGGCACCTTATAAACATCTGCTCCTTCAATCTTCTCAGATATTACTATAGATATCACTATTCCCATTTGACAGATGCAGAAACTGAGCCTCTGAGTGGTTATTTTTGCCAAAGATCACACGAGAAAGTCAAAGAACGGTGGAGCTAGGGCTTGAAGCCAAGCTTCAAAGCCTGTTCTTTTCCCCCCAACACATCTTGCTATGGTCCAGAAACCCTATTTGGAGAGCAGAAGTCTCTACTTGAAACTTTCTCTCACTTAGCATGCATGTGAAAAGTTTCCTTGTATGTTTCTCCTCTCTCTGACTAAAAAGCTTATCTCACTACGAAATCCCAGTTTTCAAATACTAAAATAGTACCCTACTCTTCAGTGCCCATCTCCAGTATTACCCCTTTGTGAAGCCTTTACCCATAGTCCCTCTCCCCCAGCAAAACCTGGATATATTCTCTCTATACTTTGAAACACCAGTGAAATAAACATGAGTATCAGAGTCAAATGGACCTGGGGCCATAGCTGAACTTTGTGACATTGAACAAGTTATTTGCGTCCCCTGAACATCATCTTCTCACGAATACAATGGGGATTAAAATTCCTACCTCAGAAGGTTTTCATAAGGATTAAAAGAAATAATGTACAGCGAGTAGGTAGCCACTAGAAGTTGCTCAATGAATGTAAGCACTTTCTCCTGCTCTCTTAGAACCCTCAGAACTTTCCACATTATAGAATCACTATTTATGGCTTGCCTTCTAAGGTACAGGATCTCACTTATTTTTTAGGTCTCACTGGTACTCATGTTTATGGAATGGGTTTAAGTTGCAAGTTACTAACCCTTCCTGGAAGGAAGGAAGGAAGTAAGGAAGGGAGGGGGGGGGAGAGAGGGAGGGAAAGAATGAAGGAAGGAAGGAAGGTAGGAAGGAAGGAAGGAAGGAAGGGAGGAAGGCAGGAAGGAAGGAAGTTAGGAAGGAAGGAAAGGAGGGAGGGAGGGAGGGGAAGAAAGGAGGGAGGGAATCCCATGAAAGCAATGGGAGGAAGGAAGAGAAGCCCACAGAGGGAGGCTCACACCGCCAAGGAGGCTGAGGAGTCACAAGGGCAAACTGAGCTGTTTTCTAGAGTTGTCAGGATCTAGCCCTATCAGGGGCTGTATCCTTTGTTATCCACATACATCATGCACACAACATGTGCACTTTTTAATAGCTAGTAAGTGATAAAAGATGGAAAATCTAGGCAAAGCATTCCTCATGTGTTAAACCCAGACTGAAGTGAAGAGTAACTCTGTAAGTATCAGGAAGTTCCATTTTGCTCCTTATCCACACTTTACCCGGGAAGCCCCAGATAGACAGTCATGGCGGCACAAGAGGCCAGCATCAGGTCCCTCTTTCTCCCCTTGGTGACGGAAAACCTAGTCTCAGGCGAGAACTGCAGAGCGTTGCTTGCCCTCAATCCGATGACAGCAAGTGAAGGAGAAGAAATGGAGCCCTCTGCCCCCACTACTTCTAAGTCAATTAGAACATGCTGATTTCCCTAACAGGATTATCTCTGTCCTTCCCCAGAGCCTTTTCCATTAATGAAGTGATCAATGATGTCTCCGTCACTCACACATCAGTCTCCCTCATAATACAGAAATCATTTAGTAACCCGAACAACCAAATACAGAGTTAAAAATTCTTACTTTTAAAGCCATCTTTATGGCCATTTTGCTCCCTCCAAAAAAGTGTTTTAACGCTAATGAAAATACCTCTTTTTCTGTGTGGCATTATTCCAGTATTTTATTACTAGGCTCTGGGGTGGGGCATTATGGTTTATTTCTAGCAACACGGGGCAGAAAAAGAGAGGGAATAGAGTTCATGGGGTGACAAAGAGTGTTCCCCAACCCCTACCCCAGCCCATCAGAAACTTGGAAATAATGGATGAAATAAACTAGATGATCCATAATTCATGGAGAAAACTTAATCATATGTAAGCAGAAATGGAGACAGGTATCTATAAAAGTATTAGTAGAGGATATTGGAAATCCCCCAAAGCCTTCACTCCAGAGTGATCTTCCTAAACCACAAATAGGATTACTTCGCCACCTGCTTAAAACTTTTCAAATAGCTTCCTCTTGTTATGAGGACAAAGTCCTAACTCCTTAACTGGGCTAGGAGACCTTGCAGTTTTTCACCCCTGCTCACTTTCCTAGCCTCACCCCAGTACCCTCCTAATCTTGTCTCCGCTGTGCCCCCCACACACACCCACATATGCGTCCATGCACACACACAGACGCACAAACACACACACATGCACACGCATTCACAAACACACACAAACGCATGTGCACGCTTCCCCCTACTCCTATTGATCTTTCAGGCCTCAGAGCAGACATCACTTCTTCCAGGAAGCCCTCTAGAAATGTAAACGAGGGGCTCTTGGGTGGCTCAGTCGTTAAGCATCTGCCTGCCTTCAGCTCAGGTCATGGTCCCAGGGTCCTGGGATCGAGCCCCGCCTCGGGCTCCCTGCTCCGCGGGAAGCCTGCTTCTCCCTCTCCCACTCCCCCTGCTTGTGTTCCCTCTCTCGCTGTCTCTTCTCTCTGTCAAAAAATAAATTAAAAAATTAAAAAAAAAAAAGAAATGTAAATGAGATGCTTTTCCTATGACTCCCCAGTGGCACCTCATACTTCACCATCTTAACCCTTCTACACGGTTTTGTAATTGCTTTTTTACCTGTCTAGCTCCCCTAACTAGATTACGGGATGAATGCTGTATGTATAATGTCTACCACTGCAGCCCTGGGATCTAGGACAGGGCCTAGCTCACTAAATACTTGTCAAATTAAACTTAATTGAAGAGACTGAATTTAATATGACCTGGAAAATCTTAGGCAGGCCTAGCACTTAGTAGGTGCACAGTAAACATCTGTCATATTGAATTGAATTAAACTGAATATGACTTGGATCATCTCAGAGAGGCAAAACAGATTAATTGCATTTCAGGAAGCCAGTAGACAGTTAATAGAATCAAATAGGGGTGCCTGGGTGGCTCAGTTGGTTAAGCGACTGCCTTCGGCTCAGGTCATGATCCTGGAGTCCCGGGATCGAGTCCCGCATCGGGCTCCCTGCTCGGCAGGGAGTCTGCTTCTCCCTCTGACCCTCCTCCCTCTCATGCTCTCTGTATCTCATTCTCTCTGTCTCAAATAAATAAATAAAAAATCTTAAAAAATATATATATAATCAAATAGTATCGCCATATGTGATCGAGGACGGTGTTCACCCAAGGACAGAGGTCATAGTGGAATAGGAAAACAATTAACATGTTTAGGGGGAAGAACTGGTTGTTTTTACCTAGCCCCGCTCAAGAGAAGAAAGTCTGTGAACCAAGCCCCGACTCCAACTGGCCACCGGACAGGGTGCTCAGCTGGGGCAGTGGACTCATCAGGCCTCATCATCCCTCACGATGCTTGGCCTCCTTTTCTCAGATTCACTCTTCAGCCAGCATCCCATAAACTTGCCCTGAGGATTTCACAGGGAGACCGTGGACTGATGCCGGCATTCTTTTTTCCTTTTGGCAGCTCCATTTCTCATTGCAAAGGACTAAGTTGGCCCTGGTCAGGCACTGCCCTCTTGGAAGCCAGGCTAGTGGGAATTCGTCCTGACCATGGCTCCGTTCTGAGCCTAGGAACAAATTTACAGAACTGCCCTGGCTGAGCAGTCAGTGGTGCCCCGCCCCACCCCCTCCCCAGAAGACCCTGCTGTCTCATTTCTTCTAGATGCAATGGGAAGCAAACCTAGGACCAGCATACCTCGGTGAACACGGGCTGAGGGACCTGTGCCTGCGGCTGGCTACGCTGGGGCAATTCAGCAGTAAAGGCACCGCCGAACTTGGCAATGGCAGGCGGGCAGACACTCAGGCGAGTCACACGGGCCTGGAGATAGTCTTCGGTGGTGGGATCCTGGCAGCTGGACGGGTGTTTCAGGCAGACTCGAGTTGTACGGAGGGGCACAAGTCAGCATTAGGCAGGGCCTGGGAGCAAGACTCCATTCGCAGGAAGATGGAGTAAGGAGCCCGGGACAATGGTAACCAGATTCTCATCCTGGCTCCCTTTTGTTGAGCACAGACCATGTTCCAAGCAATGTCGTCGGTGTCTTTATAAACATTATCTATTTAACTCTCCCAACAACCCCGTGATCCAGGTACTGACAACACCCCGATTTACGATGAAGAAACCACTCTGGATATAACTGCCGATATTTGGCTATTGTTCACCTACCAAAAAACAATGGCAGCTTCCTGTGGCTCCATCCAATAGTGACTGTCTCCATGAGGACTGGCCCAGGAGTCTCCTCAGGATGAACACGTTAGTGGAAGTGAACAGACAGGCTGGAAGTGAACCAGAGGAGGGGTCAGGATGACACAGCCAGCTAGGGCTTGAGGGAATGATGGCCTCAGTGTGGACAAGTTCCAAAAATACTGTTGTTGAGCCCCCAGCAAGTGATCGCGGGGTCTCTGGCCAAGGGGTCTGGTCCCACAGATAAGCCCGCTGATGTTTACCAGTCAAGGCACAAGCGAAGTCACAGACTGAGCCGCCCCCTCTCCCAATACCCAGAGGCCCAGACAGCCGTTCACGTCTCTGTCAGCCCTTGCCGAGCCTCTTTCTGTGAACAGAAATCAGATCACATGTTGCCTGAAGTCAGATATGTGACCAGACTCAGTGCACTGTGCAAGATTTCACCAATGATGAAAATAACTTTCTCCTGCTGCATTTAACATCTGGTGTCACAGATTTTTGCTGAGAGCCATAAAATCACTAACTTGCAGAGAAAACCTCATTGTTGAAAAATACATTTATGGAGGGGTGGGCGGCAGCCAGAGCCCGGCTCTGCTCTGAGGCTGCCTCAGTGTTTGTGGTGGCCCTTGGTCTCCTCGGTGGACGATGACTCTCACAAGGCCTCAGGAGCAAAGGGGGGCAGTAATGACAGACCCAGGCTGGTGACTCGGTCACTGACTAGCTGAGGTACCTTGGACTGGTTCCTTAACCTCTCTGATCTTCCATTTCCTTGTCTACAAAAAAAACAAAAAAGGATAAAAATAACCACCTGCCAGGGTGACTCTGTAGTCAATGAGATAACATATGTGACAGTGCCTGGCACAAGAGTAAATGCTAGCTTCTTTCTCCTTTCTCTTCCTTTTCTTTTTTTGCTCTCTGACATTTCCTTTCAGACCCAAGTCTGCTTGCACACTGTGGCATTTGTCAAAGACTTGTACATATAACAAGCTTGGCCCAAGCTGCAGCTCACTGGGACCCCCTGCTCTGCTCGGGTTGGAGGCACTGATGTTCTAGTCCATCTCTCCCAGTGAAATGGAAGTTCTCTGGGGAAAGGGACTGTGCCCATTCCCCCAGAACCTGGCACGCAGTCGGGTGCTCGGGCACGTACTACATAGAGGAGTGAACAGTGTGACATCAAGAAGCAGCAGGAAGGGGGGCGCCTGGGTGGCGCAGTCAGTTAAGCATCTGCCTTCGGCTCAGGTCATGATCCCAGGGTCCTGGGATCGAGCCCCGCGTCGGGCTGCCGGCTCCGCGGGAGGCCTGCTGCCCCCTCTGCCTGCCGCTCCCCCTGCTCATGCACTCGCTCTCTTGCTCTCTCTGACAATAAATAAATAAATAAAATCTTTGAAAAAAAGCAGTAGCAGCTGCAGGCAGGGAGGAGGTGGTACCACGGTGCATGGCAACAACCGGCACTTACCTAGCATGCTCCTGCTCCATCCAGGTCCGGGGCGAGGCCTGGAAATACAGGGATTAAGTGATAAATGGGTGAGCCTCAATTTCCCTGATAAGTGAGGGCTAGCATGGGAGGGCTTGCTCCTTGTAACTGTAATCGTGGCCTAGGGCACCTGCCTCTTGCCAGGCCGGCCACATTTGAGACCTCCTCTCCCCTGCTTGTCCTTCTCATGGCTGCCCTCAACAGCCACATTAGGTCTACTTTCCCTTGCGTCCACTTGTTGCTGTGGGTAGAGCATGCAGAGGAAGCAACAAGATGTGACTGACCCTGCCCTGCCCACAGCATGGCCTTGACGTCTGAAGCCACTCCCGTTGGTGTAAGTTTTTGCTCAGAGCACGTTCCATCTCCCATGTCTCTCTGTCTCTCTCTGTCTCTGTCTCTGTCTTCCTGCCCCCCACCCCACCGCCACCTCAGTGTGTGTGTGTTTCTATTTCTGAGTGCGTGTGCACTGTCTCTCATACACTCTTGTGTTTCTGTCCGTCTCCATTCCTCTGTCTCGCCGTCTCCCCACGACCTGTGTCTCTGTGTGTGGGTGTCTCTCTCTCTTTCTGTCTCTCTCAGCCTGTCTCTGCCCTCCTTCCCCCTCTGCCTGCCCCTCCCCCTGCCCTCCCAGCCTGCCCCTACCTGAGCCCCTCCCCCAGATGCCGGGGGCGGGGGGGGGGTCCACACACAGCCCAGCCACTCTGTGCATATTTTTAACTCTCACTTATTATCTCCACCGCCCGCCATTTTTGGCTGCAGGCCACAGCAAACAGAATGTGAGAAAGCAAAAACTAATGAGCTTCTTCAAGAGAGGATAGGGAGCTTCTGTTATTTCATTTAGTCCTCAGAGTTTAACTTCTGGCACTTCCGTCACATCTCCAAATGGTAAGTGAAGGTTGTTACTTTTCAATTTGGTTGGACTGTGTAGCACATTTCATCAATTAAAATGCACCCGTAGTGCAAAATCACAACAGGGCCGGCAGGAAGGGTGCTAGTGTGTGAGGGATTGTTTTTTTTCAAAGTTACTTTTGTTCCGTGTAGTTACGATCTGTTCAAGGCCCCCTTTTGCTCCAAACACCACCACCGTGCACCTGAGAGCAACGTGTGTGCAAATCTGAGGCAGGGCAGCACTCTGACTGGCCAAGGACCCTGCAGGCCCTGGACAGCCTGGACCCAGGGTGAACCCGGGGCTCTGGATTTAGCTCTGGATCTGCTAAATGGCCTCCCAACCTATGGAGTGACCTGGGCAGGTCATTCAACCTGTCTGTACCCTGTTCCTGATGCAGCCATCCCTCACCCATATGCCCCAGAAGGAATTCTCTAACTGGAAAGATCTTCAGAAGGGGAAATGAATGAGTGGAATAATAGGCTTCCCCGACCTCCCTGATATTTGTTCATCCAGCGGATACTTATTTACTGCATGCCAGGTACGGTGCTGGCCTCAGTATTCGGAAATGTGAGATTTGAAGACTTCAACTTTCTCTCCATCCTTCCCTGCCAAATTGGGGTTGATGAATTTGAGTCACCACAAAAGTGTATCCCCTCAACCTTCTATTCTTCCTATAAAGTTTACATGGAGGGAGAACTAGGGATGCACTTTTTAAAAAATTATTGCTGTTTCCTGATTATAAGAATAATACCTTTATTATAACAAAAAAAAATGTTTATCACAGATCAAAAGAAAGAACAAAATGTAAATCAGTCACAATCCTTCCTCCCAAAGAGCACCACTATTTTCAAAGGAATGTCATTTTTTAATGTCAACAGAAAGCAGCAAGCCCACTAAAAGAGAACTGAACCCTGGAGAGAAAACCTAAATTTCAGTCATTGTATGACTGAGCACCCATCTTACACCAGATGCCATTATGGATTTACAAAATTAGCAAGGTAGTGTCTTGCCTTTCCAGGGCTTGGGAAGCACAGACTTACTGGTAATTTTTACCCACATGTTTTAAAACTCAGATCTAAAGTCTCTAAACCAAGAACGTAGGTTAGGAATGGGCTCCATATCTGATTTTCAGTGAGGGTTTTTTACTCATTCTAAAGTTCTGTCCCCCATTTTACTTTTCCCACTGTTAGTACTTCCCCATCCCCCACAGTTCACCCCTTTGCACTTGGATTCTTTTCCCCATGTTTCCCTTTCGGAAACTGTGAACACTTGGCAGCCTTAGCCTTGTGCAATGTCTAAGAGATTAGCCCTAATGTCTCGGGCAGGCTATGAACGACAGAACAGAGAAGGGTACACAATGAGCAATATTACACTTTTACAAAGCTCCTGCAGATGGGCTGCTCGTAAATGCTCTGAACTGGACAGGACACGAAGAACATCCCAGGTCTGTTCCCAAAGTGTGGTGCTCAAAAACTAGTGTCCCTTGTAATGTTGGAGGACAGAGAAGGTGGTGGTCAAATAGATTTGAGAAATGCTTCTGGCCCCATCCCAGTAACAAAGCACATTAACCCATCAAAGGCTCTGAGAAATCCCCTGAACTCGCTTTAACCCGACAATTCCCAAACATCTGACCATGGGTGTTGGAAACACTCAGGAACATCCTATAAAGCTCATGTGGGGACATAAATGGCAGTTACTGTTATTGTAGAAGTTATTCATATTAATATTATGTTAATGTACCAAAAAGGGACATTGGATCTGGTGTTATTGACAACATCCTTCTCTTACCACTGCCAGAGTCATTGCTATTATACAAGGTCATCACTGATCTGGCCTCTGCCCAGTTCACTAGCCTCAGCTCCCACCCATCCCACACTTCAGTCTTCCCAGATTGCTTGAAATGCCCCCAAACACACATGTGCTTCTAATTGCTCCCTCGCTGCAATCCTCGGCTAACTTACCTACACAGTTGGCTCCTACCCATTTTCTAAGGTTCAAATTTCCTCCCCCCGTGGAGCTGTCTCTGAACCCTCCGGGAGCAGGACACCCTTCCTTGTTTTGTCCTGGCATTCTGTTTATACTTCATCCACTGAGTAAGAGGGTTTGCTTCCATTCCTGTCTTCTCTGCCAGGCTGGGAACTCCCAGAGGACAAGAATAGTGATTTATTCTTCTTTGTATTCACAGGATTTAGTGTAGTGACTGATTCATAGAAGTTTCCAAATAAAGGGATGAAAATGGACCCGCATCCAGAGGTCAGGCAAACCCCAGTGAAAGGGGACAAAAGGAGAAGATGCTTGAAATAAGAGAAAATGTAGGCGGGTAGCAACTGACATTTGGAAGCTTCAACTCTAAGTGACATCCTGGTTTTAGTAGTGTCTCAACAACATTGGCAACATCCAGACCTGTGGGTGGTCTGTATGGGGGTGGGGGGATTGCAGAACAGATTTCCAGGAAACTGAACCTCAGACATAGTACCAGGAGGTCAGGATGGGGTGAGCCCTAGAAAAAACAGGGGAACTCAGATGCAAATCTCAGTCATTGGGAACCAGTCATTGGGTTGATTGAACTAACATCCCAGAGTTCCTTAAACTCCCCTTAAATGGGAAGAGGATTGAATCCAGATTTGGAGGCACGGCTGAGCCCACAGGTGTAGATTAAGTGGCTGCACCTGGAGGATTAGTGGACTGCAGGGACAGGAAGCCAAGCCGATCGTTAAGGATTCCAGGTGCTTCTCTCCGCCATGGCCTTGCTCAGGTCTGTCTCTATCTTTATGATAGAACCTCAGACTCTCCCCCCACAACGACAGATTTCTACATTCAGATCACCATTCCAGAAAAGTGCCTTCAACCTACTTTCAAAATCATTTGTGCCCTAGAGTTTACATCCCCGAATCAGACTCATGGAGTTGTAATCCAAAGATCTCCTCGCCACAATATACTCAAAGCCAGGTTGGGAGCTTCAGTGACTTATTAATAATGTAAAAACCACATATCCAAATGGTTTCGGGATAAAATGGACATAGGTAATAAATATAAGTGGGATTCTTTCAAGAAAAAAAAAAAAAAAACTATTCGTTTCCTTTTAATGGCTGAAGACAAAAATCTCTCAAGTATCTATACCAATCAGAATAGTTAAAGGAAAAATACAGAAGATTCAGGTCAAGCTAAGAGGATTTGAAATGTAGTTTATATTATTCAATAGCTTCTAAAAATGGGGGGAAACAGATTCTAATTAAATCTGAAAGTCCCAAATCCATATCTAGATCAAACTGTGAAGGGAGAAGCTGACCACATTGGTTTAGAATGATCTTGTTGGCAGTATGGGTACTGGGAGGAAACTCTTCAGTAAAGCATTGGAAAGAGGCCAAAAAGGTCTAAAGTTTTACATTTTCCATGAAAGGTCTAAAGGATGAAAGAGGATTTTCTGTTTTGGGGATTTTTGGGGGGGAGGGGGCCATTGTTTTTGGTTTTGTTTTACTATATCAGTCTGGGCACCAGAGAACAATGAGAGGAAGAGATAGAAATGATGGAATACTGGACGAGTGGGGGCCAGACAGAAGGATGGACAAATGGATGGATGGGTGGGTAGATGGACGAGTGAGTGCGGGTGAAAAGGCAACATTTTGGAAATGTGGATAAAGTGGGCAAGGTTCTAACTCGGTCACTTGCTTGGTGTTTTCCCCAAAAGGCCACACATAGTTTCTCAAAGTCCTCGTGCTTCGTGGGATGGTCAGGACAAATGCCATATGCAACTCAAGTGTGCGCTAGGATCACTCTGTCCTTTGAGAGTCTAATAACATTGCTGAGACACTACCTCCATGCCATTCCTCATCAAATCTCACAGTCTCCCCAAGATTGCTGTGGTTCTAGGGCTTATATGTTCTTGATCTTGTTACTCAGATTTTTTTGTTCCAGCTACACCTAGAAAGCACTCTGTCTATCCTCTTCTCTCAGTTCTGACTCAGATACACAGTTCTACCTTTTTCCTTGATTTACCCCAGATACCGCTCCTATACAGTTCACTGAGAATATAGGAGAACATTGATGGGCGGTGACACAAGAGAACCACACAGCAGATGGGTGTGGTAAGAGTCACTATCAGGCGGTCCGGCGATCAGAGGGTCCTGCTCC